AAAAAAAAAAAAAAAAAAAAAAAAAAAAAAAAAAAAAAAAAAAAAAAAAAAAAAAAAAAAAAGGGGGCTGCAGTTTGTTCTTTCTTATTGTCCCGCGGATCCAGAGTCCATCGTCCACATTTAAATTAATAAACCGGCCCAGGAATCCAGATGCCTTTGGTTTGACATGCAGAACACTTTCTAGCAGTTAGTTCTCCCTTCAACTCAGCCCAGTCTTTGTGAGGGTTTTTTTTTTTTTAAGGCGACAAAAGAGGCGGGTAGAAGGAGGGCATGAGTAATAATGTACAACACACTTCCTCTTTCTTATAGATTGTTGTTATAGTTTTCTGCCCATGTGCATAGATAGCCCCAAAATGCAACAAACCATCCGATGGTACGACAAAGCAAGATAAATCAACAAAAGAACAAACAAGATCATACTTTGGAAGAAAAAAATAATAATATGGCAATCGGTCCAGAATAAGGTCGATTGGGCCATCTTTTTTTAAAACAGGAAGCTCTAGTTACATAACACAAGAGACCGAGAAAGAGAACAAGACATAAGAGAACAAGCGTATATGTGTATGCATATATATATGTGTTGCTAAGCTAACCTATTTATATATATATATATATATATATATTTTTTTTTTTCCCCAGCCTTGTGCTATTACATAAGATGCAGTGTTCTCCTGCTATCATCCAGTGGATTGCAGAAAAATAAACATGCAATGAAATCCTTTTCCTTGCTTTTCAAGCTGTATCTTCCTCGAGAAAACATGTCTGAATTATTAGAGGGTGAGGGCCAACTCACATCAAGGGATTCCAGACAGTACCAGCAGAAGGCGTGCTTGCAGTTCTTGCACATCATCTGCGCACAGCCCTCATCCCGTTCGATGTACACTTTGCATTTCGGACAGCGTTTGATGGGGGCGTCGTCCTCATTATTCTTATAGAAAGAGCTGCAACAAAAAGTGAGTGACGAGAAGGCCAATTACAAAGAAGTAGAGTTCACGGTGGTGGGTGTTAAAGGGAGCAAAGGGAAGGTGGTCAAGATGGTGGTGCTAAAGCGACAAAGCGGGCGGCTGCCTTGTGGTGGGGAGCTTTTGAAGTTGATTTTTGAGTACTGTATTTTACTATAAGGCATTTTGGATTATAAGGCGCACCTTCAATGAATGGCCTATTTCAAAAATTATTATTATTATTTTAAAATTATTTTCATATATAGGCATTATAAGGCGCAAAGAATAGATGCTCCAATGGTGGCTGCGGTTGCGCTATGGATCCACTAGATGGTGCTACGCTAACGGGAAAACAATACAATACAGCTTTAATTATATTGAGCCTTCACAACCGCTGTAGCTTTAACAGAGGTCACAAACACGGACATGAAACATAAATACAAATGGCATTACAAAACAATAAATGAAAGACAAAAGTTATGAAGACTACCGATTCAATAAACCTTGTGGGCTCACATCCACAAAGGGCGAAATATCATTCTAAGTCTTGCTTGACTCCTTCTTCCTTTGTTGAGTCAGTAGTTAACTATGCTTTTGGTATTATCTTCGTTTCATAATGGCTGCGCAGAGCTCACAAAGTAATTATCTGAGTGTGTGTTGGCGAATGCACATGTCAGTTAGTGTCGAGCAGAACCCTTTCAGGTTACAAAATGGTTCCTGCTAATAATCACCAATAGATGGCATAGGAACACTAACAGGGAAACAACTCAATGGAGAATATAAAGAGACTAACTCCATACATAAGGCGCATCGGATTATAGGGTGCACTGGCAGCTTTTGAGAAAATTGAATGCTTTTCGTTGTACCTTATAAAACCAAGTGACGCCCGGGAGGAGAGTCTTTTTAACGAGAAGACATGTAAAACAGGACACATTTTCATCATCAACGGACAGTAAAACTATTCACTCAAACGCTGCGTTAAATTGTTCATGTTCTCTGAAAATGCAAGAAGGGATTGCTCTAGTTTTTGTGTGCTCCACATAGTTTTTATTTCTGAAGCAATCGCTACAAAGGCCAATCAAATAAATCTACTTTAGCATGTTTATTTAATTGGCAGCTTTGAACATTCTTTTGCACTACTCCTGTTCCTAAACACGGGTCAGTGTGTGTACGCAGCAGCATTTTTAGAAAGAGGACAGAATCAGTAATCTCAATAATCCAAAGTTTGCTGGATCGGGTCTACGTTTCTCCTCACACCGAATTTAAAAGTCACGATAAAAGGTCAGGTGTGCAAAGAATAAGCTTGCTACCGACGAATGTAGTTCTAAGAGTAGACTTGTTAATCCTCTCTGCCTCCACTGTGGCCTCTGATAGAGGAAGCCTTGACAGGCCTAACGACTTTTTCCACAGTAAGAGGATATCACAGAGAAATGGGTCAGCTACATGCGGTGCGTCTCGGGGGCAGCACTCTTTTGGAACCCCTCCATGCTGAAAGTGGGCACAGTGCCCAGGTAAGACCACATTTTAGTTGCCGCATATTGTTTCAAGCCTTCTTATTAATTTAAGATGGAGTGATGGCAGAGTCAGCCAGGCAGGCTGTCAGCTTCAAACTCTGGATGCACTTCATGAATCCAGCACTTTATTGACAAATGGCACGAAGGTAAGGTGGGCAGAGTACGACGCATCGATCGCTACTTGTCAATATATTGACTCATTCGAAGTGGAATGACTCATGTTGGATGGCGAGTGTAGTTTTGTCACTGCGATCGCAAATCGATTCAAATTTACATCATAATTTACTGATGCAAGCGTTGTTTTAACAATTTAGAATTATAATGGCAATAACTGCTCTTTTATGGAAATCCTATTCCCAAATTTTGAAGTAGATTTTCCTCTGTTTCAAATTGGATAGGGGAGGGGGAAACAAAAAAAAAAGAATCGATACATAATTGTCATTGCACAGCAAAGGACATTTCCGTTCCATTTTGACAAATGTTCTGTCAAAGTGTAGCTAAAGAATGATGGAAATATTAAGTTGGACACTCTCCATAGAAATCAATAACTATATCTGAAATTATGTAAATTTCAAGTAAATTCTTGTAAATCGTTTTGAAATTCAATAATTCCTCGAATCCAGCAAACCTATGGGACAACATTGGAATGGACAACAGAGTTAACTGCACACCATTTTAGTTTGGTCAAGTTCAACAAAAGGAAAAAAAAATTATACATGGGTTTAAAATACTGTTATTGATCCATCTGTTTTTATGAATAGTGCTTGTCCTCATTAAAACTGTGGGTGGATTACGATGAGATGCTCATTCTATACACCATATTGCTTGTTTATTGGATCACAGTTTGACATTTGAATTTGAAAAAAAAATCAGGTTGAATATATTTTCCCTGTTTAGATTATCGAGATGTGAGTAAATGAATAGGTTGCCTTTAATCATTTTAAAAAATAAATTTGTTCATGAAAGTCTATTTCTTGTTGCTACAAAGATAAATGTTGGGTAAAGATGTCAAACTTACGTTGGCAAAAGTGCGTTTTATTTATCTCTGTAAAAGTAGGTTTTGAAGAAGCGATCAGATTTTAGTTATGACAAAACAATGCCTTTTGACACATGATACTGCTGCATGGCGTTATCATTGGTTCACTTGTTCAGTTTCTGCTCCAACTGGAAAATGTGATTGTTATTTAAAATATGTAAAAAGTTCGAAGCCAAGGTCACACGTTGCGCAAGAGCGTGCGGGCCTGTGACTTAAGATGTAGGAAATAAGAAACGATACCTGTTCTCTCCTGGCAGGAAAGCGGTAATGGGAAGATTCTTCTCCAAGCAGGCCTGACCAGGGTGCCAGTTGGCTTTGCAGGTCGAACAGAATTCAAGTGTGCAAACGGCACACTGGACCAACTGGGGCTGTGCCTGTGAATCGGCCTCCTTCAGTTGGCACACAGCCTGGCAGGTCGAGGACGGGCACCACGTCCGACAAGGGTCCAACAGCACCTCTGATGGTACAAAATGAACAGGCTGCCATCATTGACACATTCCCTTTAAAAATGGATACATTTCCCAGCCCCCCCCCAAAAAAAAAAAAAAAACAATTTTTAATGAATTATGAGTCCAAATTAGTGCAAACAGTTAAAACGTGCCCAAGAATGGCTCAGAAGTTTATCAGTAAAGCTGTGTATTGCTGTTTTAATTTCTGTCCGCAATCAAGGCGAGAACAACAATTGGTAGGTAACAGGGCTGGATTATTCATCAAAATATAGGTGGGATTTCGATTTTGGCTTGTCTCGAACTTTAAAACATTATAATCGAAGAGAAACGATGAATATGCAGAACGGCACGGTACATTTACAAGTTCCTGACGTTGTGAGCAGCAATAGTTCAAACCAAGTAAATACAAACTTTACAGCGCATCATTGGTGCAACACAAAATGATCCACACAAATTACATTTAATAAAACTGTCTTAAAAAAAAAAGAAACCAGTCTGCAAAATAAAAGAACATAAATTGCACTTTGTGCAGCAACAAAATAACGATCTTAAACGGTCGATGAATGATGAAGGATAACTGAGGTACATCATACAATGAATACCAATGTTGTAACAGTTGTTTTGGCATTGCTGTTCTCTTTGTGTGAGTCACCTCGAAGCAAAGTTTGATAAGCCGCCTGATGACGCATGCTTAGAGATGGACCTATTTGATACAGATTTTCTTTTGTCACTCAACTCACCCTATAATGCGTGGTCTTTTTATTGGTTCATATATATAAGAGGGTGGGGGGGGGATCGTTGCCGTGCAACTTTCCTTGGAAAAACAACAAGCATTGGTCTTCTGCCAATCGTCTTACTTATGCCGCCACACAAAACCTAAAGTTTTTTTTGGTGTAAATAATATCAAACTAGCTTTTCATGTTCCATTTGGCAACATCTTTGTGCCTCAGGATTTACATGTATTTTTTTAGGGCCTATGAAACGTAAATTAAATGTTTCCAACCGATACTGGTCAACTGAAAATTACATGGTCGGCCCAGATTTCGGATCATGTGACTAGATCTGGAGAACTATGGACCCAAGTACTGTGCGTATGTACACCCCCATTCGTGTCAACATTGTTTATCATAACCATCCAAATGGGGGAAAAAAAACTAGAGGATCTCCAAATGTTGGTTTATATTAGATGATTATGTGAAAATATATATTTATACTTTTTATTTAGTTTTTAAACACACACTTTTTATTTGACATTTCATAAATCCATTCAAATGTTCAGGATGATCGACAGTACTGTTTTTTTTTTTTAGAGCAAGGTGAAGTCTAAAGCAATGCGACAACGCTAACGTGTGGTGTTGTTCCCCGGTCATTGACTGGCCCCCTGATTTCCCATTTGTTAATTTCTCATGCATGTATTCCTGTAGTCAGAGCCAAGTACAATGTACAGTTTGCGCTGGCGTGTAGGCGGTGAACCCACAGGTTGAGTGCCATAAAAGCATGAATGCGTTGCTTGGTTACTGTTCTCGAAAGCGGCAGAGGTCTCAGCAAATGTGGTCATTACCACAAAAGCAATTAAAGCAGTAAGCGAGAACACAGAACCTGCCATCCACTTTCATCTCTTTATCTAAAATTTGGACCTCCCGACATTTTTTTTTTTTTTTTTACATTTCATAATTGCACATGCTTCTCCATGACTACAGCAGTTCAGATGGTTTCGAGGTTGCAAGGATTTCACTAATGTGGAGAGGAAGCAATAGAGCACGTTGATAGTGATGATTTATGTGGCTGAAGCCCCGTCTGAACTGCCTGAAGCCCTGCTGTGTGTGTGTGTGTGTGTGTGTGTGTGTGTGTGTGTGTGTGTGTGTACTTCGCCGGCAACCATGCCCAACGTGTGTAAATGATTGACTCAGTATAGATACACGTGTCCAGTCTCCACGGTCGTCATCCCTTTTGTGTGTCGCTGTGCAATACAGTAGATGAGGGAGGAGCACAGAAGGGGCTCAGAGGATGCACGTGCCTGTGAGACTGGCCATCGCTGAGCACGCCATAGCCCTGCTGAGGCGCGCACAAGCTAAATAGTGACATCTTTGTCCATTTTTTTTTTTGCATTGACTCACCTCTTTCAAATTGAAGCTTCTTGTATCTCTGCATCATTTCCGTGGCCACCATGCACTCAATCTACAGGGTCCGAAGAAAAGGAAGGAATAATATCCAGTTAAATTTAAGAATCGCGCATATTTTTAATTGATAGATGACAAAAATATACTATTGTTCTCATGTATTTTTATTACCGGTACTCAAAATCGCTTGAGAGGAAATGAGATACTGAGACACTAAGTTTCATCCCTCAAACAATCTAATATTACACAGAGAGCAGGCGACACGGTGTTGGTATGTTGGCCTCACAGTACAGAGGTGCAGGGTTCGATTCCGGCTACGGCCTTCCTGTGTGGAGTTTGCATGTTCTCCCCGTGCCTGTGTGGGTTTTTTCCGGGTAATACGGTTTCCGCTCACATTCCAAAAACATGCGTGGCAAGTTAATGGAACACTCTAAATTGTCCCTAGGTGTAATTGTGAGCGCAAGTGTTTGTTCGTGTGCCCTGCGATTGGCTGGCAACCATTTCAGGGTGTACTTTGGTTTAAAAAACAGCTGCTGTGAGCAGTGCCAGGAGGATGGAGAGAACAATGCTTCACTTTCCAAATGACATCCACATGAAGGCAAAACAGGAGAAGCGTTTGACGCAGGGGAAAAAACAAAAAAACAAAAAAGACAGGTGAGCCACTACTTTCCTTATTTCATGCTAATAATGCTATACAAGTTGATGTGCAAATGTTTGTTACACATCATTGAAGATAAAATTATTACATTTGTTTGAGGGAAATACTGCTTACAAAACCAAATTGGGGACATATAGGCTAAATGTGATGTTTACAAGCCTAACAAACTGCAGAGCATGTGGTTATGTTGGCCATGAGTCATCACAACGTTGAATGACCGTGTCAATACCTCATTTTCCTGCAAGTGCCCTCTTTTTGGACAGGCTGAGTCTGGACAGCTAATTGCAGTTTCAAGGCCTTCTTTGATCAATAGTTCCACATACTGCTTCAGGCACTGCAGGGAAGAGACAAATAATACCAGTTTGACAGTCTGGGCAGATGAATGAATGCAAAACAAAAACAAACAGAAACAAATCATCCCAGCGAATAGTCTGCTAACACCAGACCAAGAGTTTTGCTCTACCCTGAGAATGAAAAGGTCTGATGACATACAATTTGGAATTAAACATCTTAACTGAAAAGATGAGCATTGAGCAGCTTTTAAATACTGTCGCACATTTTTCACACTGAAACAAATAAAGGGGAAATGTTGGTATGTGACAGTGAAAAACTTCCTGTTTGTGTGATCACAGAAACACCATTTGTGAGTTCCTAACCTTCAGAAATGGACACTGCAAAGCATTGTGAGTACATCCATAAACCCAAAAATATTCAGGGAATCATTCTATTTTCGGAGGTTAAAGTAGGCATAAGTAAAGATTCAAGATTCCAGCAACACGTGTGCGGACAATTAATCGTAGCTTTCTGACATTAACAATTTATTCATAGGAAGGTGACAGGTTGCTACTCACCAGTGTACAAAAGATACATTGGCACTGTGTGATGGTGGTCATTTGCTCCACGGGAAACTCTCCAAGGCACAGTTTACATGAGACGAGGGGGTCCACGGCCAGCTCCCATGTGGGACGGTACCGTGACGCGGTCATCTTCGCCGCCACAGAGCTTGAACAGACAAAAAAAAAAATGACAAAAAGACATTAGCATGAGCAAGAAAAAAAAGAGCTAATGGGGTCAAATATTATTGGGAGGAAATTAAAAATTGCTTAATCTACATTTCGGCAAACAGTACCTCACCATATACAAAGGTTTATTTTTCACTCAAGAGTGTAAGATGGGTAGAATTGCATGAAGTCAATTGTTAAATGAAAGTGTCCAAACATCTTGGGGAGTATGACGCATAAGCGGTTACTCTCGTCTGGTGCACGGCTCTTTTTGGTTGGAATGTCAGCTCTGGCTTTCATGTCAATGTTGAGCCCTCTTTGCTTTCTTTTCCTTATGTACAACAAGCGCATCTTTTCTGAGATAATGGCTCATTTGTGTAGTCCTTTGCCAATCAACTTAGCCTCTAACAGATGGCAGGCTCCTTTTTTAGATTCCTATTTGAACAATAGATGCTGCATAATCGAGTTTAGAAAGTAGCAGCTTAAACAAATGACCAAGATTTTTGGGGAATCCCTCCAATTGTGTGGATGTATTTCTTTCTTTGTTTTACCCTGCCTCTAGTCTTTTTCTTGCCATCACATGAACCAGAAACCTTACATTGTGTAATATTAAACTAAGATGCTGCTGTTCCATTTGGCAATATCTTTGTACTTCAGAATTATTTTGACCTTTCAATAAATAAATAAAATAAAATAAAATGCCGACCAATACATGGCCAGTCTGATTTCCCATCAGGACAATACAAACAGAGCTGAAAACTCTGTTTAATGGGCCCTACATGTTCATTTTTTGTATTCTGCAAAAAAAAAAAAAAAAAAAAAGAATAAATAAATAAAAAGAAAAAAAAACCCTCCAAATCAGCCATTGCCGCTCCCTTTAATACTGGATGTTTGTTTATTCATTACACATCAATGCGTCTCTACACCAGCAGAGTCAAAAGATGTATTTTCATCAGGGTTGGGAAGTGCTCTCGCACGTACGTCAACACTTGTATCAAGCTCTGGCCTTGCTGCTTAGCAACTGACTGAAGGATAATTAGAAGGATCATGGAGGAGAGTCAAAAACCCACTAAGACATTACAGTTTGTTTTAGCTGAAAACAGTGTCATGCTTTTCTGGCACATGCTACAAAATGATCTATTTTAGTTTTCATGATCCTTATTATTGTTTTTTTTCTTCTTAGTTTAGCAGCAAAGTAGAACTTCGGTGATATAGTTGAGCTAAGTGAGACATGAAATGCTCCAAATGTAAACTAGGCACTCAGTAGAGCATAGGTTATATATTTTATGAAGACTTTTTGTTTGAAAAACGCATCATGTTCAAAAACACTCTGAGATCGGAGAATGTTGAATTTTTTTAAATTAGATTTCAGATATAATCATCTAAATTAAAATGAATTAACACTTGAAATGTATCAGTCACACAGACTGAATGAACATATGCATTACACAAGTTACACTTTTTGAATAGTATGACTGAAATAAATCAACTTTTTCATGATACTCAAATCATCAGTATTCCTCGATCAATTACCGTATTATCCGCACTATCGGGCACTTTGGAGTATCAGGCGCACCTTCAATGAATGGCCTGTTTTAAAACTTTTTTTCATATACAGTATAGAGCGCAAAGCATTATAAGGCGTATAGAATAGAAGCTACAATAGTAGCTGGGATTGCATTATACATCCATTAGATGGAGCTATGCTAAAGGGAATACAATACAGTACAATTTTATTTGTATAGGGCTTTCACAACCGCTGCAGCTGTTACAAAGCGCTTTACAGAACATTTAAAATACGTCTGAGAAATCAGAATATTGATCCATATATTAGGCGCATCGGATTATAAGGCGCACTGTAGGCTTTTGAGAAAATTGAATGCTTTTATGTGCGCCTTATAGTGCGGAAAATATGGTAGTTGATTATCAAGCCCATCCCTAATTTTAACTATAGCAGGGGAACAAATCAAATTCGATCGGTACCCTGACCAAAATATAACGGCTGCTTTCTTCGCCCAACTTTGCAAAAAGATTGTTTTATCGGCTTTTGAGTTGTCCAGGTTGGCTTCTGTAAACACGTGGCCATATGAAAACATGTCCACATTTGTGCCATACCCACCCACCAAGGATTCACCTGATGACTTGAAAAGGTGATACATGTCAAGACACTTAAAGGGGAAGTCAACCCAAACAAATTCATTCAACATGATCTAATATTCTTCATTACGCCCTCCATTAAATAATTTTAATCAAATCTATGTGGGAGGAGGAGGAGGAAAAGTGAAAGGACAAATGAGCACCTCATGTCTGACTCACTGAAATCACAAGGCATCCATCCATCTATTCTGCATCCATCACATTAACCAGAAAGCACTGAGCGGAAACGACTCTCCATTATGCAGACACTGAACTCGTAAACCAATGCTTAAATAGCAATTTGTTATCGAGTGCTGAGCCACTACATGTGAGTGAGTGGCTTCTGTGGTTTGAAAACACACAGAACACGGCAAGATCATTGTTTAAAAACCGAAAAGAATTTCCAATGCTAAGAGGGAAAAAAAAATATTTACAATGTGGTATCATTATTTTAGATGGCTGGAAATACGAAATTACTAAAAATGTAAACAGAAAGGAAGGCAGGAGAGGCTCAACCGTTAAGCCTCTTCACATTTCGAGTAGTCCCTATATCTCACTGATAAAAGCATTGAATCAATTTGTTTATGCAGATGCACTGAAAACTATTCTCATGTTATTTTAAACACCCAAACTTTCAAAAGATGGCCACTTTTAAACTATAAAAATGCTCGGTTTAGTTGTGTTTCGATTTTAAGAATATATTGCTCTTGTTTTGCTGACAGACTGCAAAATGCTCCGTTTGTGGTTTTTGAAAATAAATAGACAAAGGTTGAATAATTCTGAGTTCAAGTAGACATGACTGCCAAAATTATTTAAAAACAACTGACTACACATTTTCATGTTCTCTGCAATCATTCTGTTTGAGCATGAATTTCTCAGAGAAGCAAGACGGTATCAGATGAGCAATATGGACCCTGCCAGCTTTCCAAAGGGTGATACAGTGTCTGCCATTTAAGCGTCAAAATGATTTAATGTGGCTGCAGAGATTACATGGCTAATCCCCCTTCTTTGGACATCACCAATGCTTCTCAAGACACAAGACTTAATGACTGGGGAGTGTGACATCACTCAATAGTGTTGTACCACAACTCTCACAAGCGTATATAAATGGAGATTACAATAACAGCAGTGCCAAGAGAATAACATTTATTGTTTACTTGCCCAAAATGTATAGCAGAACAATTTGGATGTACAAAATGGAAGACATTTTTAAAAGCACTGTCAGGATGTGCTGAGGAGACGAGAGAGACAAGAACACGACTAATAATTAGATTCACAAAGAAAGGGTTGTGCAGTGCAATTCCAGTGCTGCATTATTAACGAGATGGTCCATTATCCCTGGCATTTTCAAAGCATGTGCGCTTGCTCTCTGCGCATTTCCAAACAGAGCCGCACACTCTTGGAATAGGCAATTGACAAAGGTATATTTCCTTGATTGGCGAAGGGAAACTGTTTTTATTTGATAGTTTTGTTGTTGTTGTTGTTTTTTTTTTTAACTGATACTTTTTAAGCTTTAATAGTAATTAGTAGCAGGAACAAACAGTTAAGAGACTGTGGCCTAACTTTGTTCAAGCAAATGACCAATTGACTCAGTACAACTCTTTCAATAGTGTTATATTATGCACATTAACCCAATTATACACCTTTGGATGGATACGTGGTGAAGCAGGAAAGGAGCGCCCTGTCTTTGACATGCTATAGCTCTGGTGTTAGCCAGCTGCGACCCTCAGCATCTCACTCAAGTCCCAAACAGGCAAGTGAAACATGAGTGGACTGTCACTACTGGCACGACTGGCAACATTCAGCCTGCTCAAGACATAAATTAGTCCTAAAATGCTTGGTCAACTGTAATGCAAACGTTCCCGGAGAGTATTAGCTCGCTACACTTACATTGTTGGAACACTGAATAAATAGTCATGCTTTTATTCTATCTTGAATAATTTCATAGATTTTTCTTCTTCTAAATACATTTATATCAATTGAAATTAATGAATAAAAAATATCAATACTGACAGATATGGAATACTTTTATTATAAACATTTTTCAGCCATGTCACCGAGCCCTGCTTAGCAAATTATATTTTAAAAAGGCATTTATTTAAGCTATATATTGACCAGATTGAGTTTTTCATAGTTTAATTGACCTCTTATTATAAGATTAAACATTATACAGTACGTTCATATCAAACAACCTAAATTGAGCGGCACAGTGATCGACTAGTTAGCACGTACGCCTCACAGTGCAGAGGTTCAGGGTCTGTGTGGAGTTTGCATATTCTCCCCGGGCCTGCGCGGGTTTTCTCTGGGTACTCCGGTTTCCTCCCACATTCCAAAAACATGCATGGCAGGCTGATTGAACACTCGAAATTGTCCCTAGGTTCGAGTGTGAGCACGGATGGTTGTATGTCTCTGTGTGCCCTGCGACTGGCTGGCAAACGGTTCAGGGTGTCCCCCGCCTGCTGCCCGAAGACGGCAGGGATAGGCTGCAGCACGCCCCGCGACCCTTGTGAGGATAAAGCGGATCGGAAAATGAATGGATGGATGGATTTTCAATATCGATCAATATGAACTACTGTATATCGTGATAGACTTTCAGCCATATTCCCCAGCCCTAATCAGGATGCGGATAATCAATTCTACGTTCTTTTTCATGATTACATAAAAGCATTTCATTGATATTGTTCAATCACATTTCAAGTCATTTGTGACATTTTTCCCAATATTCAAATAGCGAGTGATTCTGCTGCAAGGGATTTAAATACAAGCAAGCCAGTGTCTGCAGTGTTGTGAATCGGGTTGAACATGCATTCAGTCTGTTGGGAATCCACTTATTGTTTGGCTGATTGGGGAAGCATTCATGTGACT